AATTTCAACCAACAAAGTCTGTTTAATTTTTCTCTCCTTATTTCGAAGAAGTTGTTATAAATTGTCAAATAGAAGAAAGAATACGCGACAAAATATGATTGTGGGTATTATTAACTGATACGAAAATTTCCCTGAAACATGGGAGGCGGAATACGAACACTTCACTCACTTGAATTGAATAAAGTGTTTTGCTCAAAATTCCAAAAACGTTACTGAATAAGGAAGACGTACACCTGAAGAATGCCGGAGTGTGCAACAGCCGAAACGTTATGAATATAACAAGACAAGATTACTGGTCCGAATAGAAAAGCATATAGATAAAATAACTTACCTCTTTGACAAAAAGTCTGATATGGTGGTACAGCGCCATTTTTACTGCCCGGTAGTTCGACTCCAGCCGAACCGTCGGCACCACGCCACGGAGTGTCGTAATTATTAATTCTCTGTTGGTTGTTACAAGAGCAGGACAAAACGCAGCAACTCCTTTGGCTATCGTCTTTTGTGGCTCCTCCGTCCACATCCACTTTAGGGGTAGTACCAGTTACACCGGTAGGACCCGTACCCAAAGTGCCCGTACCTCCAGTCAGTCCATTACCGGGACTTCCTTTGTACATTACTGTGTCGTAAGATTTGATGTGCGAAACAGGGGTCACTGCGGCTGAAGCGGGTCCGCCGACTACGGCCCCAGAGCCGGTACCCGCTCCGTCTTTTGGAACTGTCGGGTGCTCCATAGCGTGTGGGTAGATGGATTGGATTTTCCAATCTGTAGTGTTCGCATGCTGTTTTGGAGTCTCTGAGGGAAGGGAATAGACAGAGGACGGAGCGAAATACCCTGAAGGCCATGATCCATAAACAGGGAAATTCCGATCACAGCTTGTACTGTCTGCATATGCATTTGGTAACCAGCCCCGGAACGCGTACGGGTTCATTGAGAATTAATATATTGTATTATAGCTATCTTCTAAAGTTGAAACGTTTTTTTTAAAAAATAACAATAGATAAGAATTTAACTTTTGCGAAGTACTCGCGTGTATAGCTCAATAGTCAGAGCATGGATTTGCAAAGATGAGTGTCAATCTAAAATAACTGGCAGTTAACTCAATAAAACTTTTTGATGGTTGCTTTCGTAAACTTTAAAATACCTTATTTTTACACGGGGAACGCAAAGAGAGAGAAAGTAGATAGAAATATTAAATTAAAAATAAAAAAAAGACCTGTGTAGAACCAGATATATATTTATAAATAAAGGGTGTCTTTTTCTGTGTATATCGTAATATAGATTTCTATATGTGTTCTTTACAGCAGAGATTTTTATTGAAAACGTTTTCCCCCCTTTTCTTTAGATTCTTGAATTGAATGGTGTTGATATATTTTTAATTTTTCAGTGGTTAATTTTGAAAACAGATGTCCGAAATAGAACATGCCCGTCTTAATGTCTGCAGAAGGAATGATGCTGTGATGGTAACGCGAATAGAAACAATTTTAAATTTGTCGAAATAAACAAGGGATTATTTATAATTTCAAGTAAAGAAAATACAAACACGCTACATGTTACGTATCACTCAACATCCGAATTTGGACAAACAATACATATTTACTACTTTACCTTACCGAAGATTTCCGATAATGATCCGGTGAGGGATTTGTACTAAAACAGAAATAATAATAATAATAATAATAATAATAATAATAATAATAATAATAATAATAATAATGTAAAACTTTATTATTTTATTACCTACACAAATTTCTTTTTTGCTTCTTTTTTTAGTGTGTATATTTATATATGTATCTTATAAAACATATCTATCTATATAAATAAAGGGGAACACTAAAAAAACTTATGAAAAACTATTCTTTAAAAATCTTGCGTAAATAAATTAAATACAAAATTAAATATCTTTCATTCTCTCCCTTTTATCAATAAAAAAATCTTTTTTTTTCTTTTTTTTTTTTACTTTTATGCGTGCGTATGTGTGTAATACGGGCAATTCGGTATGCGTTGTGCCTAATTGACAGCACGTAATTGCATGGATGTAAACAAATTAACCAATTTTTTTTTCTTTTCTTTGGTTTCTCTTTCAAACTTTTTTTTTTTTTTTTTTTTTTTTTAAGATTTCCTTGTTACAAATGTACGTACATTAAATGGTCAGTTGACCCAAACCAGAAAAAGTAACTGGAGAATTGCTCCACAGGCAAATCCGTACGTCCGTAAAAGGAAATGTATTTTTCTGGGGGATGTCGTATGTATAGATCCGTACTTTAAAATAAGTTTTTTTTTGTTTTTTTTTTTTAAATTTTTTTTCTTTTTCTTTGAAACAAGAACAACAACAGCAAACACAGCCGCACTTCGGATAGATCAGTGCTTGAACTCTTTCAGATTTTTACAAAATTGTTCATTTTTTTTTCTTCGAAAAAGAAAAATAATATTTCGATGCGTGTGTAATCATATGTCAAAAACCATATCTCCGAGCATGCAAATCTTTATGTGCGTTTTTATGATACAAATATTAATATATCCTTTTCTGCTGCTGATAATTGATTTATTCAATAATGTAAGTGTGAGTAAGTAATCACATGTGATTTTTATATATATATATGTATTTATGTTTATATCTGTATATATGTATATATATATATATATATATATATATATATGTGTGTGTGTGTGTGTGTGTATTGGTATATAAAGTTGTTGTATGTACGTACCTATGCAACTGTAAAAATAGGTATTTGCAAAAATATGATTACAAATAAGTTTTGTACGTAAGACGCTTGTATGAATGCATGAATAATTGCGGATGTATCTCCCTTTTTATATATACATATCCATATATGTATGTATGCATGTATGTGTGTGTGTGTGTGTGTGTGTGTATGGGTATGAGAGAGCGGGAGAACGAGAGAGAGAGAGAGAGCGTGTGGATGCGTTATTTATCAAATTCGTTGGTAGGCGAACAAAGCAAGTTGGTTGACAATATCCAGTGTTATTTTGTCTTTTCAAATTTTCCCAACTACGATTTTCATTCGTTTCTCGATTAATGTACCTACGTACAAGTGAGCATTTCGCTTTCTGTGAGGTCTGGACCTGTTTTGATGGTCGTCCTGTTACTGGTCGGTCGGTGTCGGGCGCCTGTCGGTCTTTCCCGTGTGGACAGCCTCCCAATACTCATTAAAAATAATGTCCCTATGTAATGTGTAGAGTTTTATCAAAGTGCCATGAATAAAAAGTCCCGCATAATGAGAAAACAGTGCAGGGACATTGATGAATTTGAAGGTTGTTAGGAAACGCCCGACTGTAGGGTGGTTCCCTGCTTATAGGCAGAGGAGACTTTGTATATTAAGGTAGCGGGAGAGAGAGAGAGAGAGAAAAGAGGCGGAGTGACAGAAAGATAAAATATAGAGGGAAGAGGTGGAGGAGAGAAAACAGTGGGAAGAGGAGAGTGAGAACGAAAAAGAGAGGGTGTGTAGTGTGTGAGAGAGAGAGGGGTGAAAAGCGTGAGTGATATATATATGCGTAGAGAAAGAAAGAGAGAGAGAAAAAAGAAAGTAAGAAAGAAAGAAAGAGAGAGAGAGAGAGAAGAATGACACTCAAAAAAGAATATATAGAAAGAGGTAGTGAGAAAAAAGGAAAAGAACAAATTACGTTGAAAAATAAAATCACTTGGAGAAAAAAGAATAAGAAAATTATAAAGTTGGGGGGAAGAAGAAGAAGAAGAAGAAGAAGAAGAAGCCAGTGAAGCTGACAAATTAAGAAAGAGAGAAAAATAACACTTATTGAGAGAAGACAAGGGTTTCCCTGAAGTCAAAATAGAATGAAATGAATTTAGAATAATAATAAAAAAGAAGACTTATCGACATGTACAGGAGGAAAAGGAGATGGAAAAAGGAAAATGAAAGAGAAAAACAAGAAAAATGTGAACTTGTACCGAAAAAGAGGGGAAAAATGAAAGGAAAAATAAATGTGTGTGTGCGCGTACAAGACAACAGTAGGGAAATACTATGACGTGTTTTTTGTCAGAGAAATAATAATAATAATAATAATAATAATAATAATAATGATGATAATAATAATAATAATAAAGACAAAAAAGAATAATTATTAATGAAAATGTGAAGTTTATTTTCATTCAATGTTGTGCTTTGTGAATTCAGTCATTTGAAGGAAGAAGGAAGAGACAGAAAAATAGACACGAACACTGATAGAAAAAGTAATAAACTGAGATAGATAGATAGATAAATAGATAGATAGATATGAACAGACTGAGATAGATAGATAGATAGATAGATAGATAGATAGATAGATATGAACAGACCGAGATAGATAGATAGATAGATAGATAGATAGATAGATATGAACAGACTGAGATAGATAGTTAGATAGATAGATAGATAGATAGATAGATAGATAGAGAGAGAGAGAGAGAGAGAGAGAGAGAGAGATGAAAAGATTAAGATAGAATGATAAAAAGTTAAAAACAAAGAAAGAAAAATATGGACAAAAACAATAAAGAAAGAAAGACAGGAAAAAACAAAAAAACACAGAAAGATAGGTAAGTAGAGAGATTGGAAGCGAAGGAGAGATAGATAGATAGAAAATAGAGAAAGAATGGGCAGACAGATCGAACGAGAGTAGGTGGAGATAACGTTGTCAAGTGGGTGTGATAAATTAACTTCCTTGGATACGAAAAACTACACTTACTGGTGAATATATCGCGTTTACTGCGTAGGAATACATGATTAGTAAAGAGGCGAGCCCCGCCTTCACTTTGGCCCGACTGGGGATTTACTACTACCACTACTATTACAACTGCTTCAGAATCAAAAGTTAATTGTATCGAATTATATTATAATCATATTGTTTGCACCTTTTAAGAGTAAAAATAATCCTTTTTGTATAATTTCTGCTTAATAGATAACGTAACGCAGTTTCTGTTTACATAACTTACTTTTTGCAGTGAATCTATAACTGCTATAATTTTAAAACGAGCAAGAATCATTTTCTTTCTAAGGTTATTACTATTTTTAAAATGACAATAAAACAAACACCACAAGAGAAATCAGTTCATTATTTAGCAGCTAAAACTTGTTGGTTAATGATTTTTATTTTATGGTTGGGTAATTTTATTTTACAAGCGATTGAAAGACGTGATGTCCCATTCAATAATAATAATAATAATAATAATAATAAAAATAATAACAACAATAACAACAACAAAACAACAACAACAACACTTTAAAGAGACAACAAAAAATGTTTTCCCAAGTACAGCTCACACCTTACGGAGGGCTTTATGAAAAATGTGTGTGATCTTAGTTTTTTATTTTTATTTACATTTTTCTTTCAAAATTGTTCAGTGGAAAATGTCATGATGCCATTTCTGACCTTTGGCTTTTGATCGGACCCGGAAGTAAATGTGTATACAACAGAAATAAAAGGAAATAATAATAATAATAATAATAATAATAATAATAATAATAATTATTATTATTATTATTATTAATAATAATAATGATAATATTAGTACTGTAATAATAATAGTACTAATGCACAAAATGTGCGAAGTTGAGTGAGGTTATTTACTGAGAAGAATTTTTTTTTTCGGATGAGTGCTGATTACCCCAACCACATTTTGTACAAAAAAAGAAATATTAACAAGTAAAAAATAAAAATGAAGTCAGCATCTATAGAATCTCGTGTAGTAAATGTGATAATATTTATATTGGTGAAAAACGACGAAATTTAAAAAAAACAAAAAAAAGCCGCATCTATGAACACAAATGGGCTATAAAAATAGGGGATACTTTTATACAAATTACAAACTATTCTCTTAATTTAAAAACACCAAAATAGCTGAAATTATTCCTTAAGAATTATTAAACCAGCAATGATATCACGATTACTTCTTTGTAGTGCAATGATTCAAATAAGGATGAGACAAACAGATCTTTACAATAATAATAATAATAATAATAATAATAATAATAATAATAATATTAATAATACTACAATAATGACACATTAGAAAAATCACTCATAGTTTAGGTTTGGTTTGGTTTGGTTTACGGCATATCAACCTCAGTGGGTTATTTAATGCCGACAAAACTTTTATTGTTGGTAATATTTTCTTTTCAAAAATGTATTGCTGGTAATTTTTTTCTTTTCTTCAAAAGATCTATTTATGGTAATGTTTTTCTTTAAAAAAATCTATTTCTGGTAATATTTTTTCTTCAAAATTTATCGTTGTAATATTTTTTTCAAAAAAAGGTATAGCTCGTAATTTTTTTGTCTAATATATAGCTGGTAATATTTTTTTTCAAAAATGTATTGCTGGTAATAATTTTTTCCTTCAAAAATTTATTGCTGGTAATAATTTTTTTACAAAGTATTTCTGGTTTTAAAACCTATTTTTACAATTTCATAGTGTTTTGACTGCAGTTTGGGAGTTAACTATTTGTCCATAGTTGGGACCCTAAGAGGTGCTACCACCCCGGGTCAAGGTGGATCTGGGAACTCCAGCAATTAAGAGTTGGTTCCATGGTACTCAAATCCTCCTTGTCATGATGAGTATATTGGGCTTCGTATATTTGTACCTCAGCTACACTTTTTGACGTGCTGCTCTGTTACTCAATAATAATAATAATGATGTCAGGTGACTTTTGTTATTTAAACTCTGGCGAAAGCTACCTGTTTCTACAAGTTTGACCAGTCAATAATTCTCCCAAAGAATACAAAAATTAGCAGTCATTCACTGGGAACTGTGCAAATGGCTTAGGTTCGACAATGTAGAGAAATGATATCAGTAAAAACCAGAGACTGTCCTGGAGAAATAAAAATCAGAAAATACTTTGGAATTTCGGCAACCAGACTGACTAGCCACTGCAATCAAGAACATCAGATTTGATAGACGTGAATAAGGGAAAAGGAACCTGTCAGACCATGAATGTGGACGTTTCAGACTGAATATAGACAAAAGTAAAAACATGAAAAAAATACCAGGACATTGTCCGAAAACTGAGAAAGCTATAGAATATTAATGTTGAGATCGTGTTCGTAATTATAGAGGCACTTGGAATTATGCTACAAAAAACATTTGACTCGAAATTGAGTAAGTTAGTAATTCGGAGAAGTGGGTGGGAGACAATAAAACCCGAGCGTTGTTGGGGGTTTGCTGAAATACTGAAAATAATGCTGGAGATTTAAAGAGACTTGTTGTCACTTAATCTCAAGCATAGACTACCATTTACTGATGCTGTGAACACGCAATGAGGGAATATTATTATTATTATTATTATTATTATGGGATTTTGAAGATTTCTGACCTTAGGTCTTTGGTTGGGACCGGAAGGAAATGTGTATACAACAGAAATCAAAGGAAATAATAATAATAATAATAATAATTTTTATGCAAATTTGCGTTTGCTACTACCACTACTACTACTAGTAATGTTGAGTGAGGTTATTTACTGAGAAGAAGATTTAAGTGCTAATATACAATTATATAGATTACTATATGATGAGTAGAAACGAATAAAAGTACCCTGGGATTTTGACATTTACGAACGATCCCGTGCACACAAGAAGGCCGGAACTTCTCGTTATGAACAACAACAACAACAACAACAACAACAGCAACAAAAAAAAAAAAAAAGAAAATCTACCAGATCGTAGACATTGTAGGAGAAAATAAAATTAAAAGAAATCCTAGTAAATCGCAGGCGCTGCTGTGTGTGCAAACTGCAAGAAAGGCATTAAAAAAAGAAAAAACAAACAAAAAAAAAGAAAAAAAAAAGATCTTGAACTGGAACTAAAAAGCATTATCAAAGCCTAAATGGACATGGTCAAGAATTGATGCAACTGGAAACATCTCCAAAATATTAGAGGTTGGTCTGTAGAAAGGATTGGGATTGTACAGTGTAATGCGAATGTAGGTGAGAATGCTGAGCAAAGTGCGCGAGATTTTACGAGACTTGTTATCACTTTATCCCCAGTAGTAACCACGTGAATAGGTAAACGCAAAATAAATAAATAAAACATAAAATAAAATAAAAATTAAAAGTAAAAATTAAAAAAATATATATTTAAATAACGAAAGAAACTCATGACTTCAGATCTGAAATGATCTCGTGTGATAACATGTACGTGTTTTGCCTTGGTGAATTAAGTTGGGCTACCGTAAATATTCTGTTCAGTACCACAGATTTGCTTGTCAGTTGCCTTGGGCGAGTCTAATTGATTTTGACGCATTGTACATTTCTGCTCATGAGCGGGAGTAGCAGGGGTGCAACATGGCCGGATGTCGGAAGGGGTATTTTTAAGTTTGAAAGATGAGGCAGACAAGGCGACTTGGGAGTTACAGCGAATATCCTGAATCGGAGACCGTCTAAAAACGAACTAGGTTACCCGACCTGAAGGTACCTACTTCTAACTAGATTCCACTTGCAAGATTATGTGCTGCTCTTTTCAAAACCTGTCACCATATCACGCACATTTGCCCTATATGCCTGGTATACCCATGTCAGACTTGGTATTATGATGGTTACATTTGGCTTCGTCAGGTTCACTCGCTTAACCATTCGTTTTCTCACGCAATACTACTACTACTACTACTACTACTAATAATAATAATATATAAATTAATTATGACTGTAGACATTAATATACATATGAGAAAATGCAAGTGAGTGATGAAAAGTTTTCAGTTCGATTAATAGATGATTCCAAAATCATTCTGATTTTTTGGTTATTTGGTCAGATTTTGGGAACTGAGCCAAGCCGAGAATTTCTCAGCATAATTTGTACAAGAATATATACCTAATAAGCACTTAATTACAAATAACTGAGTGAATGATTATTAATGAACACATAGTAGAAATTCTTTTTATAGATATAATGATAAATATAAATTAACTTAAAGTATTTATCTGCATACTAAGATTTGAAGTACTTATCTGCATACTAAAATTTGAAGTACTTGATTGCATGTTAAAATTTGAAGTACATCTGCATGCTAAAATTTGAAGTCCTTATCTGCATGCTAAAATTTGAAGTACTTGTTTGCATGTTAAAATTTTAAGTACTTGTCTGCTAATCAAAATTTTAAGTACTTATATGCATGCTAAAATTTTAAGCACTTATCTGCATGCTAAAATTTGAAGTACTTGTTTGCATGTTAAAATTTTAATTCAGTCGGAATCATAAAAATACCCAAATGTCATTGTAAAAATCTAACATCAAAATTAATATTAATTTATTTGGTATTTTCAAATGCAGATTGTTTAAGTGTTAACATCGATTAAACGGTAATGATGTGTCAGCTCAATGCGTAGTAATAAAAAGTTAAGCAAGATTTCAGCATTTTAGTCTTGACATAGCTAGATGTAACCGTAAGTTCTATGCTAACAGTATCTTCTATCGCACTTCTTACTTGTGGAACTCTCTTCCAGTTCCTTGCTTTCCAGTCAACTTTGATCTTCAAAACTTTAACTGCAACGTCAGTTATCTTCAGTTTTCTTAATTTCTGTTCTTTTATTGTTCTCTTTCCTTAATCGTTATTTTCTTTTTCTTATATTCTTTCACACTCAGTAACCCCTTGTATCTTAGTGGCTCTGTTTCCTTGCTTCGGGTGAAATGATTAAGAAGATATCATTCTTGGTTATTTTTAACCTTTATTTTTTAATGTAAAACAATATATATATATATATATATATATATATATATATATATATATAGATAGATAGATAGATAGATAGATAGATAGATAGATAAATAGATAGATCAGAGAAAAGGGACGCCGCAAAAATTTGGGTTATAATGTAGATTTTTAAATGTATTTCCATAAATATGAAAAATAAAGTATGTATTTATTAAAAATCCACATTATAAACAAAAACCTTGCGGCTTCTCTCTTTCTTTTTAAAATATACACTTTTCTCACGTTGGAACAACTATAACTTCTTCCCTTATATATATATATATATATATATATATATATATATA